CACCATCACCATCACCACCACCACCATCACCACCACCATCACCACCACCACCATCACCACCACTACCATCACCACCCGCCACCTGCCTCCAGGAGCACTGCAGCCTCGCCAGCCATCCCACTTTGGGCTCTGTCTCCAGGGATATGGGGGCTGGACCCTTCTGAGGCCAGTAGAGGCTCCACGCCAGGGTTGGTGGCAGGGCTGGCACAGGGGAACCTGCAGGGGCCACTGGCTTCACCATCTTAGCTACAGCAGCCCCTTCCCCTGTGCCTCCTGGCCTGGGCAACAGCAGCTCGCATGGCTGGCCCACCACTTCCTCCAGGGTCAGCAGCGTCTATTCTGGTGGCCAGCAGGGCTGGAGAATCTTGGGACTGTTGAGACCCTCCCCCAATCTCCCTGAGCCTCCAGGCACAGATGTGAAAAAGGTGACCACTGCAGTCAGCATTCAACCCCCACAGCATCCAGGGAAGGAAGGGGGCCACTGGGGGCTGACCCCTGCCTGTTCTGCAGCCAAAACCACCACCCTGGCAGGGCTCAAGAGGGAAGAAAATGGGGAGGGGCCGTTTGAGCAAATGAGCCCACCCGTGAGCAGGGTGGACAGACAGACAGCACGGTCTGGCAGGAGGGTGTCCCGTGAGCAGGGTGGACAGACAGACAGCACGGTCTGGCAGGAGGGGGTCTTGTGAGCAGGTGGACAGACAGCACGGTCTGGCAGGAGGGGGTGGACAGACAGCACGGTCTGGCAGGAGGGGGTCCCGTGAGCAGGGTGGACAGACAGACAGCACGGTCTGGCAGGAGGGGGTCCCGTGAGCAGGGTGGACAGACAGACAGCACGGTCTGGCAGGATGGGGTCTCGGTCACTGGAGGGCCTGGGGCCCCTGGAACTCAGCATGTGTGCCTACAGCCACCCCGTGGGTTCCCCGGCCAGCAGCCGCCACAAGCCGCAGCTTAGACAACCACCAGGCAGGTGACTAGCGCGATGTATTGATTCAGGCACTAAAAACCCAGGAAAGAAGACACCCAGCCACAGAGCCAAGGGTTCATGGCAGGAAGGTGGGGGTGGCAGGGGCCGAAACGGCCTGGCCTGGCCTTTCGAAAAAGCAGCTTTCTGGAGACAGACGACAAAGATGGACCAAGCCATGGGAAGAAGCACTGAGAAGAAAGGGGAGGGAGGCTCGTTCACACCTGATGGGCTCCAGCCAGAGCCACCACTGACCTCCATCCCTCCAGCCAGGGCTCCCGGAGCAAACCCCAGGCAGTGGTGGGGCCCAGTCTGGGCCAGGACCCTTGCTGGCTCGGGGCGCCCACCGCCAGCCTCGGCGCCATGACTCACCTTGCTGTGGGCATAGACCACAGAGCCCAGTAGCTTCCAGGTGCCTCCCCGCCGGTCCATGCGGATCATCCGTAGAATCTGCAGGAAGCGCAGGCTCCGCAGCGCGGATGTGGCAAAGACATTGCCCTGGGAGCCGGCGGCCAGCACCGCAATGGAGGCGATGAGCACCATGATGTCTACAAAGCGGGCATAGACTGGTGAGCTGGTGGGCCGCCCCCTGCACCCGCGTGGAGAAACCCCCACCCCAGGTTCCAGGAGGCTGTGCAGAGGGGCGGGAAGTGTATGCCCAGCGCCTGGTGTGGGCTCTGTCGGGACCCAGGAAGGACATGACTATCGTCCACCTGCCTGCAGGGTCCGGGACGGGCAGCCCGGCACAACATCCCTCTTCCTGACGTTTAGGCCGGGTTAACCACAGGCTCTGACTCCAAGTCAGCAGGTGAGAAGAAACTTCCAGAAGGAGCCAGTCCTGCCCAGCCTCTCTGGCCCACGTAGACCTAGCCCCGGCTCCCCCCAGTGCTGAGTCTGTCCCTGGGTCCCTGGCCCCGATTCCAGCAATGCCGCCCCCACCAGGCCTCACCAATCACACAGAACGGCTTCCGGGCAAACTTGAGCCGCCCCCTCCAGCCACGGTACCGGCAGCAGCAGCCTGCGGCCCAGATCCGCACGAAGTACTCCACACCAAACACCACGATAGTCACGATTTCCTGCAGGGGAGGAAAGCTGAGGCCACCTCGAGACCCAGGGGAGGCCCTGGGGGCCCAGCCTGGCCCCCCACAGGGGCAGTTCTGGCCCAGGGACCAAGCCGCAGGACAGGAGGCCCCCAAAGGAAACTGCAAGCTTGGACTGACCCACACAGGGCCCCCATCCCTCTCTAGCCTCTGGGCAGAAAGGGTTAGGCCCTCTGGAGACCGTGCATCCCGGGAACACAGCTGAGCACGAACACCATGGGGCCACCCTCCCCACCTCCCTGTCTGCGCTGGGGGCTCTATCTGGGCTAGGGGACCCTGTCTGAACGGGGGGGCCTGTCTGAGCTGGGGGGCCCTGTCTGAATGGGGGGGGCCTGTCTGAGCTGGGGGGCCCTGTCTGAGCTGGGAGGCCCTGTCTGCGCTGGGGGGGTCCTGTCTGAGCTGGGGGGCCTGTCTGAGCTGTGTGGGCCCTGTCTGAGCTGGGGGGCCTGTCTGAGCTGGGGGGCCTGTCTGAACTGGGAGGCCCTGTCTGAACTGGGGAGCCCTGTCTGAGCCAGTGGGGGGCCTGCCCTGTCTGAGTTGGGGGGTGCACAGCAGGGCTGAGCTGAGGGAAGGCCCCAGGTAACTACAAAGGGGGTCACAGCCTCCACCCAGACCTTGGGCAGCCCCAGGACAGAGGGGCAGGGCAGGCAGTAGAGGGGGGTGCATTCGGATGGGGATCAGTCTCCTCGAGGGCCCCCTACCCCGTTACCAACAGCGACACAGGAACTGCACTCCCGTTGCCATGGTGCCCACCCTGCCCTGGCACAGGGTTGCTGCAAGCGTCACAGCCCCCACCCCGACGCCCACGTCTGCCGTCTGCTGGGGACACCCCACAGCTCTGGTTCCAGAGATAGATACCGTGGGGAGGGAAAGGGAGGGAAGGAGGGAGAGTGGACCTGCCCAGGGTGGGGTGATGGAGGCGGGGCTGTCAGCCACTGTGAGGTCACCATGAGGGGTGAGGTGAGGGCTGAGTTACAGCCAGGGTGGGGCTGGGGCACAGCCGGGGCTGTGGGGCTGGGGGCAGGTGGGAGCTGACAGAGCACAAAGACATGGCCGGAGCTGGGGCTGCGGGGGCTGGGGACGGGGCTGGAGGGAGCAGGGCAGGGGAGAGGCATCGCGTGCTGGGGGTGGGGGAGGCCTTCACAGGAAGCCAGGGTTGGGGGCATCAGAGGCCCTGTAGTAACAGGAATGAGGGACAGATGCCCAGGCAGCTCTGGCTCCTTCCTGGGCCCCTCCAGCCCCCATCCTCTCGCGGGGCTCACCAGGATGTAGAGGGCCCCCTCTGAGCTCTTCTCATACTCCTTGATGGTGGAAAACACAGACAGCACGAGGCAGGAGAACACCAGGAGGAACCTGGGGACAGGGAGCGCGCGCTCAGCCAGGCCACAGCAGGGCACCAGCACGGCTGCGTCTCCAGAACGCAGGACCCCACTCCCCACCCGCCCCACCAGAGTCCACTCGGGCCAGAGGGCACTCCCACAGCCACCTCCCGGGACCCCAAACTCCACAGTGGCACCGTGCGCAGCTGCCCCCTCCAGGATGCACCCCCTCTCCACTCTGGCCCCCGCCCCCTCTGTCGGGTTTCAGCCTGGTAGCCTCATCCTTCGGCAACGTCTCCAAAACTCTCAGAGTCAAATGCTAACAGCAAGGCCCACCCATCAACGGCTGCAAACACAGGAACAAGCAAAACCCCTGGGGCAGAAGGCACCAGATCAACCTTCCCTGCTCCTCGCTCTCAGCCACCTGCTCCAGACCCCAGCGCAGACGGCTTCTCTGCCAGTTAAATCCGGAGCCAAGCAACAAGAGCTCCTGGGATCACCACCTTTCCAGCCTCGTCCTGGCTGCCAGGAGGCTCAGTGTCTCCTTCCTCCTGGGTTGCAGGCGCCTCCTCCCACCAGTGACTTCCACCGTGATTGCTCTTCCCATCCACGTCCCACGCAATTACCTCACTCACTGATCCTTCTTCAACTTCCCCTCAGACGCTCAAGTTCACGCCCCACCAAAATTCCCCCAAATGCATGTTTTTTGTTTGTTTTGTTTTGTTTTGAGATAGAGCTTCACTTGTCACGCAGGCTGGAGTGAAATGGCGCGATCTCGGCTCACTGCGAGCTCCGCCTCCCAGGTTCAAGCGATTCTCCTGCCTCAGCCTCCAGGGGAGCTGGGATTACAGGCATGTGCCACCAAACCAGGCTAATTTTTATATTTTTTAGTGGAGATGGGGTTTCATCATATTGGCCGGGCTGCTCTCGAACGCCTGGGCTCAAGTAATCCTCCCGCCTCGGCCCCCCAAAGGGCTGGGATTACAGGCGTGAGCCACCATGCTTGGCCCAAATGCATGACTTCTCCTCAGCCCTGCATCCTCCTCTGATACAAGCGGCTCTGCTACGCTTGCTCCCTTGCCCACCCCAGAAAGCTGCAGACGGGAGGAGCCCGCCACCCCCCAAGACCCTGCCGCGGGAACCCGGTTTGTGGCCACCCACGTAGAAGAGACACAGCAGATCTCCCAGCTCTTCCTGGGAGCAAAGCTGTGCCACCCAGAGCCTCAAGCTGCCGCTGTGGCAGGAAAGCCAGCTCCGGTGTGCTGAAGTCACCGGACACACACACACAGAGACAAACCCACTTCGCGGGAAGCAAATGCTTTGTCCCGTTTACATTTTTCGCAGGTGTTCTGGGATGTGAAGGGCACGTGTCCAACATCCAGGTCCTTGGTCACAGCCATAAAGGAGGCCACGCGTGGGACACGCCCTCATTCCAGGCAGCGGGAGAGACGCCTTCACCTCGACCGTGTTGCTGCCTCTCGTTCCAACCGTGCTCAGAATCAGGAGCGGCGGGGACAGAGCCACAGAGCAGCTGCTTCCCCATGTCCGCGCCCTGTGCTGTCTTCACACTCGCCATCACCTTGCACACCCGGCAGCACCACACGGCTGCCACGGAGCCTGCGGGGCCCTCCTGTGTCTCAAACCCGAGCCCTTCCCCAGTGCCCACATCCAGGTGGGAGAGTCCCCACACTCAGGATCTCCTTCCCTCTGTCCCCGAAGCAGTGCTGCAGTCCAGCCTGGGTTCTGAGGCACTGTCCTGGCTCCCCTCTCCCCATTCCCACAGAGGAAATAGTCCTTGGATACCCGGACCTGCAGGGCTGAGATGCTGGGCCGGGGTGCTGGGCGGGGGCACCGGGCCAAGACGCTGGGCCGGGACGCTGGGCCGGGGTGCTGGGCACAGGCACGGGCATCCTGGGGATCCCTCCAGCCTGGACACGCCCCCCCCCCCGACCTGCTGGGCCAAGGCACTGGGCACAGGCATCCTGGGGGGGTCCCTCCAGCCCGGACACACCCCCCAACCTGCCGGCCCAAGACGCTGTGCCGGGGCACTCTCGGCATCCTGGGAGGTCCCTCCAGCCTGGACATGCCCCCCTGACCTGCTGGGCCGAGACGCTGGGCACAGGCACAGGCATCCTGGGCAGGGTCTCTCCAGTCCAGACATGCCCCCTTGTCACTGGAGCTTCAGGGCATCACAGCACCTCTCGAGACCCACCCCTCCTGTCTCAGCCTCACAGTTTCCTTTCCAGTCTGGGGGTGTGGGGGTGCTCATGGGATCGAGGCTGGCCAACCATGGCCAGCAAGTGGTGGCCCCAGAATCTCTGCTGGAACTACCAGGAATGAGGCACCCCCTTCCCACGAAGGTTGTCAACAAGGAGGAGGCAGGCCTGGGGCACTGGCAGGAGGATGGGTGGGCACAGGAAAACCTGCCTGAAGATGAGGTCACAATAAGGAAGGCAGCACTGAGGGATGGGGAAGAGACCTGAAGACATATAATGTGAGCACCTGGATCCAGCTGTGCCTGAAGCCCCTTGGACTTCCAGGTTTGTAAGCCCATTACTTACAACACTCTAGACTTGTTTTCTGCCCCTTGCAAACAAAAGACCCTGACCTTTCAGGCTATGATCAGCTGACAGACATGGGTGTGTCCCTGCTCTGAGCCCACACCTGACTCCACCATGCTGTGGTCACAGCTACTCTGACCCACGGCTCCTCCCTGGGCAGACAAGCCTCGTGGCTGTGACACAAGCTGCCACGGATCAAAAAGGAAAAAACAAGTCCTCGGTGTGCGGAGCTATTTAGGGAGCACAGGTCAGCGTTGGTCACAGAGACTGGAGGGTTTGGAGGGTTTGGGGAGCACAGGTCAGCGTTGGTCACAGAGACTGGAGGGTTTGGAGGGTTTGGGGAGCACAGGTCAGCGTTGGTCACAGAGACAGGAGGGTTTGGAGGGTTTGGGGAGCACAGGTCAGCGTTGGTCACAGAGACTGGAGGGTTCGGGGAGCAGAGGTCAGCGCTGGCCACAGAGACTGGAGGGTTTGGAGGGTTTGGGGAGCAGAGGTCAGCGTTGGTCACAGAGACTGGAGGGTTTGGAGGGTTTGGGGAGCACAGGTCAGCGTTGGTCACAGTGCCTGGAGGGTTTGGAGGGTTTGGGGAGCACAGGTCAGCGTTGGTCACAGAGACTGGAGGGTTCGGGGAGCAGAGGTCAGCGCTGGCCACAGTGCCTGGAGGGTTTGGAGGGCTCGGGGAGCAGAGGTCAGCGCTGGCCACAGTGCCTGGAGGGTTTGGAGGGTTTGGGGAGCACAGGTCAGTGCTGGCCGCAGTGCCTGGAGGGTTTGGGGAGCACAGGTCAGCGCTGGCCACAGTGCCTGGAGGGTTTGGAGGGTTTGGGGAGCACAGGTCAGTGTTGGCCACAGTGCCTGGAGGGTTTGGAGGGTTTGGGGAGCACAGGTCAGTGCTGGCCACAGTGCCTGGAGGGTTTGGAGGGTTTGGGGAGCGGAGGTCAGCATTGGCCGTGGTGCCTGGTGGGAAGAGGACCCCACTCTGCTCACAGCTTCACTGTCCTGTAGGAGAGCCCCGGGGGAGCACCACGGAGAGGGGAGGGACTCCCCAAAGGCTGAGCTCCACAGCCCAGGAGAAGAGGGAAGAGCCCCAGCGTCTGAGCTCCCGGGAGAAGAGGCAAGAGGGAAGCCCCAGCTTTTGAGACTGCTCAGACTTTTGGCCGCAGAGGCAGAAGGACAGGACCAGGCCATCCAGGCACAAACCCGGGGCCCCCATCACCCCAGGCTCAGGCTCTGAGCCCCCAAACCAGGACCGGCCCATTAGGTGGTGGCAGCAATTGGAGTACATAATTGGGCCCAAATCTGACACATAGCGCACAGACCAGACCCCCTCCTGCACCATCAGTACCACCACCAGCACCCACACCCAGCTCCCAGCTCCCAGCCCTGCACTGCCTGTGCCCCCGGGACCCGCCTGCCCGTCCCACTGCAGGAGCTCTCTGCCCTCTGCCCCCTACAGGACCCGCAGCCCCCTCACCCACCTCACCACCCCCCACCCGCCTTACCACCCTTCCCTCACCCAAAGGGACGAATTGCCCCAAACCCTCCTCCCACTGCTCCGGAGGGACCTAGACAAAACCCTGACTGCCCTTCCACATATCACAGGCCCAGCACACACGCCGGACGAGCGCGGCCGCAGAGGTCACAGGCCCAGCACACACACCGGACGAGCGCGGCC